GGGAGACGCGGCTGCGCCAGTCAAAAAAGCAAAGTGGTCTCTGGCTAGCTTTTTTTCAAACAGGCCCACCACTACTACAGAAGGCTTGAGTGCACAGCAGGCAGTTGAGAGGGAGCTCAGCAACTACCTTCTTTCTCCAGATGCTGACAATGATTCAAATCCTCTGGATTGGTGGAAAGTCTATCAAAAGAACTTCCCCAGTGTAAGCCAACTGGCACAACATTACTTGTGCATTCAGGCCACAAGCTCCCCCTCTGAGAGGGTTTTTAGTACAGGTGGCAACATTGTCACATGTAAAAGGGCATCCCTGAAGCCAGATAATGTAGACCAGCTTGTATTTCTTGCCAGAAACCTCTAGAGCCTGTCATAGGGTGTTATCAACACTCAACAATGTTCCTGCCAGAGCAATATGTTTTTGTTGTTGCTCACTCTTTTTTTAAATTTAATTTAATTTTTATTTGCTCACTACTTTATCCAGGCTGAAGCAGTTTGTTGGTTGTTTCAATCTATAAGAATAATCCGCCTGTTATAGTTTAAATGAAAAGATATTATTGTTAATAAGGTGAGTCTGAGAGTTTTATTTATTTGATAGTTTATTTCACATTTCTTGTTTGTGAAGGCTAAATACAAATAAAAAGTGAACATTAATTTATTTGTACCGTTTTTATTTCAAAAATGTTATATAGTTTTATAGGAGGAGGTATTATATACTTGGCAAATTCATTTTTCAGACGTTTGTAGGTACAGACATCCATTGTGGCTTTTTTAAAATATTCATATCGATATCGGAATTATATCGCATCGACCGAAATTAAGAAATATATCGTGATATAAATTTTGGCCATATCGTCCAGCCCTAGGATGTGCCTTGTTTCTTTCCTACTGCCGTTGTGAAGGCAGAATTTTTCAGCTCTTGGACACAGCCATAGTCTGAAGTAGTGTTGTCAAAAGTACCAGTACTTCAGTCAGTCAGTACTTAAATTTTAAAACCATAACCATACCGGCCTTTCTGGAGTCCCGGTAGTACAGAGTACGGGGTCGATGCAGTACCTGCTGATAGGCAGCTGCTTTCAAATGCTCCTGTATTTGAGCACTCTGTGAAGAGCGTCAAAGTTTTCTATTTACAACGTGGTTTTGCAGCGTCTTTTTTGTAGCCAATCAGAGACATGTTTGTTGAGAGTGTGAATGCAGAGGCCAATCTGAAGCTTGTAAATCAGAATCTGCTCAGTATGTCAGTTTGTTCAGCGTGAGCTCTACTCACTTGCAAATTGTTTCGCTATAAACAACAAAAGTATAAACAAGATGTAAATAAGGGATTCATTGTGCAGTATGGACAGATTTTTTTTATTACAACTGGAGTTTTCTCTCAGTCAGTGAGCTTGTGCTGCAGCTAAACTGAAGTGATATCAATTTAATTGATTATAATTGGAGCGCTGTTTGCTTAGTTTCTGTAAACTATAATTTGAATAAAAGTTTTATTTTTCAGTTTTGGGAGGAGGACTGTATTAAAGTACAGGACTGAATCTGAAATTGCAGTGTATCACTACGATAACCAACCAAACAAACAGGACAAAAAAATCTGATGTGTTAAAATAGATCTGTGCATCAAGTATTGCAGTGTTAGTGCAATAGACCTGCCACTTGTTCTGTTACTTGTAATGTGTTTCTTTGTTATTTTATTACTTTCATTTGATCTTTTAATGCAATGTTTACATAATTGAACAATATTTGAAGGCTACATACAGTACAATTGTTTTAATGTATTATGTACTAATTATTAAGAGCATTAATAATTTTAACTAATTTTATTTAATATTTATTTTTTCAAATAGGTAAATAAAATATAAATGCAATATTTATATTTAATTTATAGTAAATAAAATATAAAATTTAAATAATTAGAATAGGCTAGGTATGGTACAGAGCACATAGGAATTTTACTATGTAGTCGGGTACCGACTACTGCAATTTTGGGACTGTGACAACACTAGTCTGAAGCTAAAAAATTTAAGTCTACACATCATACACTACACAATTTTCTGTGTATATCTACAGTCTGGATCTGACTTTCAACAACAACTGTTGACTTGTGCAGACTGCAAATCAGGCCAAAAATCTGGGCAAAATTTGTGTAGTGTATTCCAGCCTTTAGTGTCAGTGCTGGAATTTCTTAAACAGATCCCAAAGTATAAATGTCTGATTGAATTGTTAATCTCTTTACAGGTGCACTTGACAATCTGACCTAGATCTGGAACAACACAACTTTCAGCAATTACCCCTGTTGATGTGTCGCTGTGGTTGAGTTTTTGATTCTCTTGGAGGAGGTAGAGCAGAGATTCCTTGTTTCTGTGTGGCTGAATCCTGCGGAGTAACTGTGACAGCGTTGGCTGGGGCGCACGTGGCGCCACTATGAACGTCACCTCTCTCTTCTCCTTCACCAGCCCGGCGGTCAAGCGACTGCTGGGCTGGAAGCAAGGCGATGAAGAAGAGAAGTGGGCAGAGAAGGCGGTGGATGCTCTGGTCAAGAAGCTGAAGAAGAAGAAGGGTGCTATGGAGGAGCTGGAGAGGGCACTCAGCTGCCCCGGTCAGCCAAGCAACTGTGTCACTATCCCCCGCTCGCTGGACGGAAGGCTCCAGGTGTCACACCGGAAAGGGCTGCCTCACGTCATCTACTGCCGCGTATGGCGTTGGCCTGACCTGCAGTCACACCATGAGCTCAATGCCCTGGAGTGTTGTGAGTTCCCCTTTGGATCTAAGCAGAAAGATGTGTGCATCAATCCCTACCACTACAAGAGGGTGGACAGTCCAGGTGAGTGACTAAATATATCTGAGCCAGTTCATGAGCACTATGTAATAGAAGCTGATTGATTTAGTTGGACTAGTGGTTGGAATTGAATCATTTGAATCTGTTCATTCAGATTCATTTAGTGACTAGGGATGTAACGATTCACGCAACTCACGATTCGATTCACGATTTTGATTTCACGATTCAATTTTCTCACAACTTTTTTTAACAAAATGAGATTGAATACATTATACATTAAATGAAAAGGTGTCGTTTTATTAGACTATTGCTGCACGTTCCTTTGTGAAATTGAAATATAACAAAACTAAACTGAAATTTTAAAACAAACCCCCAAATCAAACAAGTAAGTTCCACAAATAAAATAAATCTCTTAATATGAACAAACTAAGGCTTTGTCTGCGCTCTTTCCATTTAAAATTAGAGCCAACCACTGGATTTAATCATGAGCCAAACAAAGATGCAGCATACATGCAGCATGAGTAGTTTTTAAACTAAATTAGACTGTATCATTTCGAAATTTGAAGCAAAAACAGAATGGTCTGACTTTAGTTTTGTGAAACTATACTACATAAAACATATCTGAACGAAAGAGCAGACGAGCTGAATGAGACGCAGATTCACTCTCTGACAGCAGGTGGCACTTATGAACAGCAATGATACAGTGTTTCCTTGGTTACCGCTGTAAACAAAGCAGAGCTGCGCTTATGAACTACTTTAATATGCACTGTTCAGAGGCAAGATGAAAAGAAAATACCACGTAAACTTTTCTAAAGACGGTCAGTTCCCCTCAGAGATGCATTCATATAAACTTCTACTCCAATTGTATCACGATTTGTTTGGCATCTCAACCGATTTGAATCGTCACCGGCTCATGGTTAATCCATCCCTATTACATCCCTATTTGTGGCACTTTCTTTAGGCTTCATCTTTATGACAGTAGGTGGTGGCAAGTCTTTTTTATGATTGAGTCACTGAACCATTCCAATAATTAAAGGGATTGTTTTCCCAAAAATGAAAATTCTGTCATTAATTACTTGAGCTGGCTCGATACTAGGGCTGAACGATTTTGGAAAATAATCTAATTGCGATTTTTTTTAAAGCTCTTTATGAGCTATAAATCATTGTATAGTATGACCAACACACTATTAGATAGATTAAACATAAATGTTCTTTTCTGTAGGCCAGGCCTATATGTTACGATGAAATTAGGTGATGCATGAATTGATATGAATTACATTTTTATTTAACAACTACAATCACAGTAGTATATTGACTGATTTGTTGAACTTCCAACCTTGTAAGCATGTAATAATTACAACATAAAGCACTGACAAATAAGCCTGGTGTAAACATTAATATGAAAGTCAGTAACAAATCACACAAACTAAAGTAGATTGCAGAAATATAAAAACAAATCTGTTGCTTTACCACACTACTTTAGCAATTCAAAGTCAATGTAATAAACATATGTAAACATGTGGACTGCACTAAACACTGTCTGTTAACTTTAACCACTGTTAACCACTTTGAGAACAGTGGTTCTCAAACTTTTTTGGTCAAGCCCCCCTTTAAACCTATAAAAAAAATCTGCCCCCCTTTCCCGAATCCCCATTCCACCTCAGACTACCAAATAATTTCACTAAACATTATGAAAAATTTATGTTTTTTCATTAAAAAAACCTACAGGGAAAAAACACATGCATCACTTGAAACATTGAAAATAGCATAGAGAGAATAACTGTTGTT